CGCAATCCTGGAACAGTGGACCATATGTCATGTTCCAGTGTCGATATACGGAGAGAGCATCCTGGATCGCGCTTTCAACCACTTCTTCCTTGGCAGCTCTAGATGACAAAGTCTGCAGCCGAGTAATCTTCCGAAATAGAAGAACTTTGACGGGCGCCGCATCTCGAAGTTCCCTGGAGACCGCCTGCTCGGGACACGGCCATCTCAAAGGCGCGAGTTTCTGGTGTCGCTTGATGATGAACCGGTCGTTCCAGTCGGTAGTAGACATCCCTCTCCTTTGCTGTCCAGCCTCGGGTTCGTCCTTTGTCTCATCATTGTCTTTGCTTTCTTCGTCTGACACAGTCACCGGCCTTTCCGTCATGGCTGCGGATAGGGTGTCGAACATGACTGCCAACCAGAATATCAGTTCCATCGTCTTGCGCTCCTCAGAGTCTGTTCTTTTGCAGGAAATCCGCCTCGAAAGTTGTTCTTTGACGGCTTTTCGGTCGAATGTCTCGACTTGTCTTCTGAGCACGTGAAGCCGTCGAGCCGCTTTCTCCGTATACATATTGCTTCCATCCTTTTCAAACACCATTTTGATCCGTTCTGGTATACTGCCGCCACAAGACGAAGCCATCGGGCCTATAACAAATTCTTCAAACGTGAAATCGTCTGACTCAGATATGGGCTGTTGTGTTAGTCCAAAGACTATTTCCGCGAACGCAACCTTGAATGAGTTGATCCTGGAACAGTCATCAAGGTGTCTACGTGCTTGATTCCAGAACGATTGCTGGATCGTTGTGTCAAAATCTTCCCCTAAACCCGAAAGACAAAGTCCTGCATCTTCAATATTTGATGGTCTGTATCGTGATTGGCTCCTCCAACTGCCCTGGGCCCATTGAGCTGTGAATGCCATGATTGACAAGTGAAGTGCCCTAGTGGCCTGTCTGTCCTCATATAGAGTAAGCGGCTTGATTCCGAGAGAGTCTAGGGACTTGTCAAGATTGAGGACTCTTCGGTAAATCCTGTTTGGGAGATTCGAAACTGACTCCCCCACTTGAAAGTTGAGGTTCTCCGTTGATTTCGCAGGCAGTAAATACGGACAATTTTGCTCCGTCAGCCAGCATGAAAGTGCTCCCTCCAAGACATCGTGGTAGAGCTTCATGAGGTTTTCCGTCATTAGCCCATTATTAGTGCGTGCCATCATTTGCTGAGTTGGTGAGAACTCCGACAAGCCGCCCAAGGAGAAGTCTGAGTACTTTCTGCCTTGCCATGGCCTCTTCCGTGCTGTCGCTCGGGCTCCTGCCAACGCCTTGGGAGCGAACTCAATTATTGCAGGGTCGTGCACAGAAATAGCATCAGCTCCGTCCAATCCGGGTAGCTCATCTGATATACAACTTGGCATCGATGTCGCTGAAGAGGCCGGAAAGACCAGTGATAGATCGTCGGCTAGGGAGGCGTTGCTGGCTGTGTCGTTGGTCGGTGACAACGAAACGTTCTCAGAGCCTGGCCCGAACATGGGTTCGGGGAACAATGGCTGACTCGCTTCATAATATAGACCTGGTTCATTGTAGCCCAATCCTGGGAAGACATCTTGGAAGCCGTCGACTGTTCCTTGCGATGTTGCTGGTACCACGGCGTCATGAACGGACTTGACCCGTTTGCGACTTGGTAAGGGACGATTATCGGATACTGATGATTGTCGTCTTTCGCGGATTTGATGTTGCTGCGAACGAGCCCAGTCGTAAGTGCAACTCTTTCTGGTCTTCTGGCAGTTTGAGCACGGTCCCGTCAAATCTTGCCAATCTTGCGATGACGTTAGCTGGGAGAAGGCAGATGTGGCTTCGAGAAACTTGCCAATGTTCCATTGCATCTCATTGTCGAGGCAAAGCTGGAGATCCTTGACGGCACCGGCATCGCATGCCCGTTTCCCCTTCCTGCACTGGTCGCAGCTGCTATTCTGTCTCCTCATCTCTGCGGGTGGCTTGATCGCTGGCAAACTGTGGATGTTTCGTTCAATGTTGGCATTCGGACGCGAGGGACGTGAGTTGACGCAGGCAAAGTCAGCCCGAAGTGCCCACAGCTTATCCCCAGCGCTCTCCCCGCTGGTTCCCCGTGACCTTTTAAAGCGCCCGGCCATCCGAAACGACGCGCACCCAGGGATGACCATGTCAACCCCGCGTTTGAGCTGCATATGGAAGCGGGGTGCATACGGCTTGTCTCCCCGCCGACTCTGTGCGTCCCCAGAGATTGGTAGCTGCAGGCCTTGGCACTTCGTCCAAATTGCTGGGGTCAGCTTAGGTGGCAGTATATCTGTAGCTGATGCTTGGGCCAAAGGACCGAGATGTCGGTGAACATAGACTTGCTACGTATATCGGCTGGGCTGGACCAACCACGTCGTGCGTGCTCCCAGGGCTATCATAGTTTCATTGTGCTTAAGTGACGAAAAGTACTTGGGCAGGTCGGACGTGAAGTCCATTCACTGCCTACGAAATGATTTCACCCACGAGACTTCATTCAGCAATTCATAGAAGTATACAAACGAATGGATCGGATCAATTTCGTCAAGTCTCAATCCTTCAGGATGCCGAGCCCCTTGTACACACCCATCTCGAGCTGACCCCACAACCCCATAACCGATGCATCACAGAACGGCAAGATTTGAGAGCACACGATTCCCGCAACTCCGTTCTCTCTGTCGCACCACCAGAACAAGTTCGGCAGCCCTGCCCACCACGCGGTCCCGTCAGACCGCCCGGTCGGCCCACCGGTGATCATGAACGTCAGTCCCCACCCTTGGGGCGGGTTCCCGGGGACTGGGTAAATCTCAGGGATGGGGTTCGTGAGCTCCGGCTTCGCGGGCGGGATACCTGACCTGCCAAAGTCGGGGAACTCGGGGATCTGATTCTTGAACATCTCGTCTACGGTCTCCTTCTTCAAGATCTGCGCTTTGGTGACGGGGCAGGTTCCGTCGTTCAAGAAGACGGTGAGGATACCTGATGCTGTTCAGTCGGAATTTCCTAGATAAGAGAAACGCTCTGAGATGTAACTTACGGGCGTATTCTGAGGGCTTTGCAAACAGCCCAGCTCCACCACTGTTGAAGGTGTTCGCAATTTCCTCAGGGGACTGGGCAATGAGAGACCGGTGAAGAGGGTGGTCTCTAACGGTAATCTTGCCTTCAGGGTTCTTATAATGCATGTACGCAAGCTGTGCCTTCATTGACGGCGTAGGTATCATGTTGACGTTCTTCAACCCCAGTGGTTGACAAACGTTCTTCTGGATGTAGTCATTGAGGCTCATGTTTGTCGCACGCTCGAGAGCGATGCCAGCCCAGTCGATTCCAATCTGCAGGCAAATTAAAACCAAGTAACCAAACGGTCAGACAGTGAATTTCTTACGCCGTACTCCCAGTTCTCACCAGGTTGGAAGACGAGCGGTTGCATCATGTCCCGGATACTACCAGAAAACTCATCGATGCCAGCTGGGTAACTGAAGTCTCGGAGCCGGGGGTCGAAGAAGGTGTATCCGAAGCCAGCAGTGTGCGTAAGAAGCATGCGAAGCGTGATGCCTCTCTTCTTTTCCTCCAGTTTCCCCTGCGAGTTCAGAACCTTGATCTCCGCGAGCTCCGGGCACAGCTTCTCGAGATGGCCAGAGTCATCCAGCTTGAGAACCCCCTTCTCAACCAACTGCATGCACGCGATGCCCGTGACCATCTTTGTGCAGGAGGCAATCCAGAACACATTTTCAAGGCTCATCTCCTCGCTTGATGAGATTCCGCGTTTTCCTGAAGAGTGAGCGAATTGTTCCGCCCCACTGCGGTCTACCACCACGACCGTCGTCCCCGGGATGCTGTGAGATTGGCTGGTGGCATTGTCAACGAGGCTTTTCAGCTCATTAACCGTCTGAGCAGAGAGAGACATGATTAGGCGTAAGTAGGGCTGAGATTCAATTACAGTGATGGCTTGCCGCGTGGGAATGATTCAATGGGATGAACGATGACGATTCAGCACGTTGTCTCTGCCGAAGAAAAGAACAAGCGGGTGTGTAAACCCGAGGTTACAATGCGGCTTTTCAACCTGCGGCTATTCTTGGCGTGTAACCGCTAGTTCTGGACATGCTCGCATACTGCTAATAGTGGTAGCGCAGGTTCCGCTCAATATGGCAAAATGAACGCACTTCGGTATCCATAGACGAAGGGCAGAAAATCAAAAGAGCCAATCCCACGCTGCGCAGAACCTCGGTCTGCAGCGAGTAAATGCCGAATTGGCAGGCCAGCACACACCATGAACTCTGCCAAGGATGAAGGGAAAGTTAGTTAGATGTCTCATTGCTGGGGCTGCGTGATTCGTCAACGACAGGGGGCAGCCCTCCACGATGGCGACACGAAGGTTTTCGTTTTCCCCGCAGACGCTGCGGTAGCAACGGCACATGCGGATCCGCGCCCGAGTGACGGTCGGCTCTCCGCACTTGCATGCGACATCCTTCCCGCACGCCAACCCGGGCACAACTAGCCTGCGGATCCGCAGCGTAACTGTTCCGCGGCTGACGTTTGTAAGAGGGGTGAAACCTCATGATGCGGTCCGGGAGCTTCGAGGCAGCTTGTTACGCATGGTTGGTCGCGGAGCTATGGCTATTGGCTGGACACCCGAGTCTTCATTGCAGCGGATTATCGAATACATGCATGCGCATCCGCAGGGGCTTACATGGGTGCTGTGTTATTGAAATGTCTCCGCGTGGTGATCGATGCAACTGCGGCTCAGGCTCGTTGGCCGCTTCCGCAGGCATTGGAGCTGCGGAGCATTCCTCGAAACGGGGATGAAGCTTTGAGGATGCCAGGTATCATCTGATGTCATGGCAAAGCATCACTTCAAACGAAACCAAACGGTAAATTCTTTACGATGAGAGGTGGTTATAAGACAGCTGTCAAGCTCTCATAGTCTTGCCCCGATCTGCGACATCGACCATTGTGTACATTCAAGCGAGACTTCAAGAAATACTTTCCAGAAACAGCATTTCAGCCATGGCGGCAACAAGCGGCAAGAAATTCGCGACGGAGCTGTCAGACTACTCCTCACGACGTCAGACTACAGGACCGTATGCTGACAACCTCGATGTGGATGTCCTGATTGTTGGTGGAGGATTCGGTAAGTCACCCTCTAAGTGCAACCGATTCTGTACAACTGTGGCACGGCTGACAATTTCAAAGGGGGCGTGTTTATGCTAAAGACCCTCCGTGAGATGGGTCTTCGGTGTGTAATCTACGAGGCTGGCACGTCATTCGGGGGCACTTGGCGCTGGAACCGGTACCCGGGAGCGCGCGTGGATTCTGAGGTCCCCGAGTACGAATTCTCTTGGCCCCAAGTCTTTGAGGGTTGGACATGGTCCACCAACTACCCCAACTTCCAGGAGCTGCGGGCCTATTTTGACCACGTCAACAAGGTAAGATCATCTTGATTGAGACACTCTCTGCCTTCGTGGTGGTCGTTGGGTTACTAAGATGGAAGCTTGCAGGTCTTGAACCTCTCAAAAGATTGTTCCTTTGAGACAGTCGTAGTGGGCGCTCAATTCCAACTCGCCGAAGGCAAGTGGCACGTGAAGACTGCCGACGGTCGCTTGGCAAAAGCCAAGTACTTTATTGTTGCAGCTGGCTTTGTAAGTGAACCTGAATGTTCCACTAACTTCATCCAGTCAGCTGATGCTCATCCGTTTTGTAGGCATCCAAGCGATACATTCCTAACTGGCCCGGCGTCGAAAAGTTCAAAGGGGTGGTCCACCACTCTTCTTTCTGGCCCGAAGAAGACGTAAACGTCCGCGGCAAGCGATGTGCTGTCATTGGTACTGGCGCCTCGGGTGTCCAAATCTCTCAGGAATGGGGACAACTCGTCGGAGAAGATGGAGAATTGAAAGTCTTCCAACGAACGCCGAATCTAGCCGTGCCGATGGGTAAACGCCCCCTTACACCAGCCGAGCAAGACGTCGCAAAGGGGTGGTACCCACGCCTTTTCCAACTCCGCGAGAAATGCTTCGGTGGATTCTTCTACGGCATGCATGAGCGCAACACCTTTGACGACTCACCCGAGGAGCGAGAGGCCTTTTATAGGGCTCTTTGGGACCACGGCGGCTTCAGATACTGGCTGGGTAACTACAAGGATATGCTGTTCGATGCCGAGGCGAACAAGCAGGCGTACAACTTCTGGTCGAAGAATGTGCGACTCAGGATTGGCGATGCCAGGAAGAGGGATATCCTGGCTCCCACCGTTGACAAGATGCCGCACTTCTTTGGTGTGAAGAGGCCCTGCTTGGAGCAGAACTACTACGAGCAGTTCAATAAGCCAAATGTAGACGTCGTTGACATCGGCAAGAACGGCATTGCGAGTTTTACCGAGACGGGCATCAAGTTGCAGGATGGATCTCACTACGAGTTCGATGTCGTTGCTATTGCTACCGGCTTTGTGAGTTTGACCCCTTTCATGGAACACAACAGTCGAGACCCGCAAGTCGGACTTTGTCCAGACCAACTCCATACTACCGAATTGCCGAAGCTGACTGAAAGAATTAGGATATCACCACTGGTGGCATGACGAACATGGGTCTCAAGAGCATCAACAACACATACCTCCAAGACGAGTGGAAGGCGGCAGCAAACACGTACCTGGGCACCACAGTCAGCGGGTATCCCAACATGTTCCACATGTACGGCCCCCACGGACCGACTCTTCTGAGCAACGGCCCTTCTACGGTCGAGGTCCAAGGACGGTGGATCGCGCACTGCATCCGCAAGATTGAAAGGGAGAACATCAAGTACATCAACCCTACTGCCGAAGCGACTAAGACGTGGAAACAAAGGATCAACGACCTTAGCAATGCGTCTTTGTTCCCGACGACTAGGTCGACGTACATGGGTGGGTCGATGCCCGGCAAAGCGTTTGAGCAGGTCAACTTTGCTGGTGGTATTCCTCAGTATGCCAAAGAGATTCGCGAGGCGCTGGATGGGTGGGCTGGCTTTGACATTGTGAGAGACACGAGAGATAGAAGCCGCATCTGAGTTTCGCATACATGCAAGCCATAGGTTCTCAGGCATTGATTCAGATCTCTAGAATCGAATTGAGCATCGGTATTGATAAGAAATTTACTTGGAAATTGGAACGTGCAAAACTTAGGAACATCTGCAGTCTGATTGATCCAAGTCGACGTTTGGGCCGTAATAACAGAATTTTTGAGGTTAGGGCAGTGTACATGCAAGGGCGTTTTCGATGGTCTTTTCTCTACTGTGATACTCACCGCTTTCACCAATCAATGTTCTTCGGCAAGATTTCGACTACCATAAGAGTCATCTGACTACGAGGCAGAAAATTTTGGCCAAAGTCAGACTGCAGTTGGCAGTAAGGAGGTGCTTTCAGGCTTTATTACTGCGGGATGTTTCGCCGGCATGTTGCCGCCTACATGATACAAGATTAAGGTAGGCATAAGCGAAACTTCATGTTTGCCAGAGCTCTCAGCTTCGAAATGATGCATCTAATTGCAGGAATATGAGAGATAAGGGAGGTGGGTATCTCTAATGGAAACATCAGCACTGGTAACGTTGGATTCAGAGACAAGGTCATATGGCGACTACATCAGTCTTACGTGATGGTTGACCTGGAGAAAGTTTGAGATCAGAAGCAACTCACGACAGATTGATAGCCCACGTTTATCACTAAGATGGAAGTTTCTATTTATCATCAATGAGGAAGGAACGACTTGCAGAATTGGACCTGGAAACACATGAGATAAGCTGTCCTCGCTTAGCGCCAGATCTCACCTTTCTCCATGGTGAATGAAGTGGAGGGATTTTCATCCTAGGCCAAAGGTCAAAGAAGGGTGAAGACTATGGAAATTTCTTCCCAGACCACTTCCTGCCTTTCTGGCTTTTGAAAATTCACCTCAACTCTCGCCTTCAGGTGGACTCCACCCACAAAACCAGATCTCAGCCCTCCCGCGTCTTTCCTCCCTCTTCTTCTTCTACCATAACCTTCCACAAACAACTTCACAAGTCAAACCCCTTCTCAATCCGTCAATATCAACATCTTCCTCTCTTACGTGGGTTCACCAACTGATCGACAACACTCAGTCATAATGGCTGCCACCAGTCACACTCGGCTGGAGGCAGCCCTCTGGGCGTTATTAATGTCCCAGTTCTTTCTCTTGGGATTCGCGCGTAAGTATCGTTTCCCTCCCTATGAATGAGAAACAAAGACCAGCTAACAGTTGTTCACAGAATTTGAGGCACACCCAGCTGCCCTTGATTGCATCAAGACGACTCGCATTCCTTTCGTCTATACCACTGTTCTTACAATCTACGCACCTGCCGATGACCCAGTCACCATTCCCTCACTGCGTCTCCCTGGAACAAGCTCTATCGACAGCTTGGTCCCTGGCTTCACTCCTGTTCCCTTCCCGACCTTCACTTCCAAGGAGTCGACGGATCGTATTGGACTGCCTCCACCTTTGAGCTCCTCGGAATCATTGAGTGTGCCTCCTCCCGTCAGTCTTCCCGGCTCTCTCAGCTTCTCAAAGTCAGAATCTTTGAGCTTGCCTCCTCCTATCAGTTTTCCCGGCACTCCTAGCTTCTCAGTGTCTTCAAAGTCGCTTTCCTGGAAGCTGCCTCCCGTGGACTCAACAACAAGCCGTCAGCCAATTCCCGTCATCCCAAGCCCTTCTGCGTCTTCCCATCCAGTTGTACCCTTGCCCGCTCCTACCGCCTCAAGCACTCTACCAGTCAACACCGGGAAGCCGACTCCCATCCCTCACGACCCGGAGACAGGCCCCCGCCCGGTCCCCTCTGGTCGTCCAGCTTCTGGCTCCATCGGTCCTTGGTATGCACCTCCCGGAAAATACACCACCGTGCTGCCTCTCATCGCGACGACAACCGAGCCGGATGGAAGCCGCAAGACCGCGAACGTTACATGGCTTTCGATCGACCTTCCTACCTCGACAACCTCAGACGGCTTGGTCATTCCCACGGTTTTCCCTGTTTGGAGATGTATCTCCCTCAACCTCTGCAACCCCATCTGCTTGATCCCTGAGATCCAGTGCTATACCTCGCCTGAGAAAGACGACGGTTTCTCCTGGCCCCCGGCACCTCCCGCGCTTGGCAAAGGTAGCAAAGGTGGTGATGACGATGACGAAGGAGATGGGGATGGCAATGGTGACGGTGACGGTGACGGAGATGGTGACGGAGACGGCGACGGCAATGACGATGGAGATGGAGATGGAAATGATGATGGTGATGGAGATGATGATGGTGATGGAGATGATGATGGTGATGGAGATGATGATGGTGATGGAGATGACGATGGTGATGGAGACGATAATGGTGACGGAGACGACAATGACGATGGGCATGATGACGACAAAAAGAATCCCGACGACGATGACGATGACGACGAGGAGAAAGAGATCCACAGGAGACTCAACGAGATCCGCATCGACATTGACCTCGACGACGACTTCCTTCTCTGGTTCTTCGGCCGATTCAGCTGGACCATTCGCTGGCGTCTCCGTGTGCTTTTCAACTTGGGAACCAACCTGCCCAACTGGCGTATCGGAACAAAGATCCCCAGCTGGCATTGGGATCTGAACCTTCCCAACTTGCGCCTCGGAACCAATCTCCCAACCTGGGGTCGCTTGGTTGGCATCGGACCCATTGGCGGCGGCGGTGGTGGAAACAATCCCAATGAGCCGGAAGACCCCGATGATCCGGAGCCTTCCCAGCCAACGGCTTCTCCTTCGCCTACCTCTTCCGCATCTTCCTCCTCTTCGTCTTGCACGGAGTCAATCACCGTCGCCCCTTACTGCACTCGGCCCTGCGTCGTCTCCAAGGTATCCAATCATGTCACAAACACCTGGACCACCAGCTGCGACACGGCCAGATGCTCGACCACGGAGCTCTGTACCAGCGTCCGCACCACCACGACCACGACCTACACCACCAAGAAGCCGAAGGCCACCGGTGCCTGCCGCCCCGGGAAGTGTCCGGCATGCAGTGACAGCAAGGTCAAGCGCAACGACGGCCTCGAGAAGCGCTCGACTCTCGAGAAACGCACTATCCCCGAAGATGTCATCGTCCAGGATACCATGACCGGCCCCGAGACGTGGGAGAAGGGCGAGACCGACTGGTGGGAGAATATGCGTCGCATCGTGAAGTACTACGGTCCCGGGTATCACCAGAGCAGCCCCATCCACGCCGACTCGTCAGCCATTTACGAGGACTTTTCCAAGACGTACCCGATGGGAGGCGGCAGCGGACCCGTATGGGGATGCGTGATGGTCGCAGTCTTCTCGCCCACCGGAATCTACACAAACCACATGTGGGAGGTCCCCAACTTCTCGATTCCCGACGAGGACCGAGAGGCTTTCGACACTGATACCTTGAACTACGATGAGGCGCACTACTTCCGACAGAACGTTCACCACTTCCTTCGACATGGCTCTGCCGCCTGGACCGATCAGAAGCAGTACCCGGCCCTTCGACATCTCGTCGAAGTCGGAGACAAGCTCGATCCCAAAAACACGCAATTCTACAGGGTAATACTCTTCGTCCCAATCGATGTCAGCGGCAACATGGTGTACCCTCGGGCCAACCAAGAGATCATTGACCTCCTCACCGGAAGACTCATTGGCATCGACAAGAAGCACATCACCATCTACGGCTACAAGCGTCGCAAGGAGCTCGGCGAGGACCACCACCACGACGAAGGCAAGACTCCTCCTCCTGAGTTCCGTGAAGCAGAGCCCTGGCATGGTCTTCTCTCCTGGATGTACACCCCAAAGGGAGCGAGTGGGAAGAGAGAGCTCGTGGTTCGCTTCGAGAGAGACGTCATCCACCGCGAGACTTGGTGCGGCGATGGACTCATTGCAGGGCCCGACGGCATGCATGTCGACAAGCGCTCTACTTCATCGATTTCCACGCGACAAGACGACATCTGCCCCGTACCTCAATTATGCATGCTCAAGAAGAACTGCGGTTCGTGCGGCGGCTCTTCCAGCAAAGAACTTCAGAAACGCGACCCCTGGCCGGGACAGGTCCCAACACCCGACGAAGTGTATCTCACCAATGACGACAAGATGGTCCAGCCCGAGGACTCGCCTGAGGGAGAGTTGAAGTGGTGGCAGTCGATGCGAAACGTGATCGATCAGTTCGGTCCAGGTTTTGGCGGACCTCCTGATAGCTGGCCCTACGAAGAGGACGAATACCCGAGGCCTTGGTCAACCAGCGAGATCACGTTCTTTGACCGGGAGAAGATTACTGAAGTCCCAGTTGAGAGACCTCGCTTCGGTGGCTCAGGCCCTGTCTGGGGCTGCTCTATGCTCATCGTCGTGTCCCCGAAAGCCGTCTGGACCAGCCACTTCTGGGAAGTTCCCGGACACACGAGAGGAGAGGCAGAGCCTAACAACGCGTGGCTCCAGGAGGCGTACCCCCTACCTACGGAACAGTACTTGAAGGAAGACATCATCGACCACATCGGGACCGGTAACTTCAGAGGTAACAAACGATCTCTGACCGCGAATCCCCTAGACGAACATGAGAACCCGGGGCTTGCCCAGTACTTCCAGCCTGGCGGACCGTTCAACGTGCAGGAGATGGACTTTGTCAAGGCCTTCATTGTCTCCCGCGGGTCTCTCCCTCCGTTCCCCGAGGACGTGATGATGCATCACAGCGTCGTTGTACAGATAAAGGAGAAGCTCCTCCTCGACTTTGGGCTGTCCATCGACGAGATGGTGGATATCGCGTATCGCCCGCACTTCGAGAGCGACCTTGGCAAGTCGAGGGAAGACCATCCCGAATGGGGCGTCTTCTCTTGGGAGTACCATCCCCACGACGACAGCATGGGTCTTGGTATAGGCTTCAAGGCCTTGAGGCTACGGTGGGAGAAGAATGTTGTGTGGGAGAACTTGTGGTGTGGTGATGGCCACCGAGTCGTGCCGCCTACAGACGACGACCTGTTCTGGCCGCCTCTTCTGCCAATTGATCCCGAGCACGCTGGAGGTGATCCCATGATTGAAGGCCGACAAGCGACCGCTCCCGCT